CTGCCCCTTTAAGAGGGAAGCCGTCCAAGGACAGCCTCAGGTTTATTTAGTGTCAAACAGAAGATAAGAAGTCAAAGAAGCAAGACAGGGAAATAAACTACCTTGTGGGGGTGTTCAGGGAAAGTCAGGGGAGGCCTGAGGGAGAGTTCCTCTAAACCCAGTAGTAGCTATGGCTGTTCTGGGCCCCAGTAATTCCTCCCGCCCTGAGGGGCATGTGTGCCCTGAGGGGGTCCTTATGTCACACCTTTCCTGTTCTTACTCTGGGGAAAAGGTACAGAAAGGTCAAGGTAGAGGCACAGAACCACCCAAGCTCCCCCAGTGGTGATGCAAGTCATTTATTGTTGATGCTCAAGTCCTGTCCTGGGTAAAGGAAAAGCACTTTGATCTGTCTCCAGGTTAATGGGTGAGAAGGAACTAGCAAAGCATAAATAACTCTGCCTTAATGAAATAGAGTGTCAGTGTAGGGAAACCATTCTCCTGAGGCTGCAAATTACCAAGGAAAGGGAAGGCAGGAGAGAGAGGCAGAGAAAAGATAATGAAGAGAGACAAGTAGGATGGAGGAAGTGAGCAGGGTTAGGCTGCTTTGGATTAAAGTTCATTTCCTTCATCTTTTCCCTCATCTTCGACTCTGATCCACCCCCAAGTAGTCCTGATATTCCTGACGCTCATACTGTCTCAAGTAAACCTGCTGAAATTACAGGTGATGTTCTCCTGGGCAACCTGGCTTCTCATGGGCCTTTCCTATCTCTTTATCTTAGAACCCCAAACAGATGCACAGCTAGAGGGCAAACCCATACAGGAGGTAGGTAGCTGTGCTGAATCTCATGGCTCTACTAGGACGCAGCCACCTGCACACAGCAGGCCATGCAGGAAAAGCAATACGCTCGAGCCAGAGGTCCAGGTAGGCAGAGGCTGCGAGCAGCGCCTGCCCTCCCTCTCCCCTGTGGCAAACTGTACAACCTCTTCCTGGACCACAAGGGAGGAGAGACTTTTGATGCTGCGTAAGCAACAGCATTCCGCTTCTGAATGAAGTTGCCTGGATAAAAAAATTTTTTTTAAAGATTTATTTATTTGTGCATACAGAACTGGGGTACAGGCCAGAGGCTCAGGGGCGGTGAGAGGCTTCACCAGAGACAGAGTGGGGACCAGAACAGGCAGATCGATGAAGTACACTGCTGAGGGGAACAGCGGGCGGGTCAGGAGAGGTCTGCCACGCCATGTGTTCACCTCCGGGACAGGCGGGAATCGAACTCATGAGGAAGCGGCTTTAGATTCTCAGTGCTGTGCTTTAACCCGCTGCGCCACCAGGGAGGGCCACCTGGATAAAAATTTAAATGCCATATCCTAATCCTCTATTAAAGTCTGCCTTTCCCAGACTTTAGTATCTTTCTGGAGGACACCTGCCCCACTTCCTGAAAGAGATAAAGGCTGAGATGATGAGAACTGAACACAGTCCACCAGCACCAACTAAACAATACAACGCTGGGAGACTATCCCACCCCTCTCTCGCTCCCTCCCGCCGGGAAATCTTGCTGGAGTTCTGAGCTTTCTGTCTTTAACCTGATTTGAACCTTATATAATGCATCTGAGTCTCATGCCCTCAAAACACCTGAGTCCCTTGGGTAGGGGAGGACTGGTAGGAAACAGGGGGTGTCAGCCAGAGGAGATGGCGTGTCCAGTCCAGAACTGAGATGGAGTCTAAAAGCCAGAGAGAGCAGCCTTTCCTGGAGCAAGGCCATCGGGCCCCACAGCAGGCTCCACTTCTTCCTGGAGACGCAGGACGTTCTATCCAGTCTCCATTGTGTAGTTTGTCATCAGCACTAACCCAAAACAAGAAGCAATGGCAGATCCTGTCAAGCAAAGCCAGTGGGTGGCTATATGGTTAGATTCCTAACATGTATTGGCAGACAATAAAATGGAAGTGAAACAGAAAAGGCCAGGTTAGGTTTTGGATTTAAAAAAAAAAAAAGGAAAAAAAAAGGTAGGGCCCTCCCTGATGGCACAGCAGGTTAAACCCAGCACTGAGAAGCTAAAGCCACTCCTGCATGAGTTCGATCCCAGCCCGGGAGGTGACCAACATGGTGTGGCAGACCTCTCCTGACCCGCCCACTGTGGGTGTACTTCGTCAGTCGGCCTGTTCTGCTCCCCACTCTGTCTCTGGTGAATCCTCTCACCACCCCTGCACCTCTGGCCTGTACCCCAGCTCTGTATGCATGAATAAATAAATCTTAAAAAAAAAAAAAAGGTAAGCACAAATGAGTGATCCCTTCTACAGTGAGTGATGCAATGAAAGGACTGCATTCAATGCTGTCTGTGTCAGACAAGAGTCCAGTAAGAGCTGCTGCAAGAACAACTCCCACGGCGGGAGACCCTGTTTTCAACCCATTTGTGCAGCCTGAATTCACCCCAGGCAGAGATGTAAGGTACAGGGCTAGTGCCGCAAAGTTGCTATCAGAAGGACACTGACCCCTGCCACACCTCGGGTTCCACAGCATCACCCCCAAACCTGCACACAGCCCCCCATCACAGTTCCAACCCATTCCAGAATACTCTGTGTTCGCTTCCTTTTTTGAGGTTTCCAAACATTACCTATGTTACTTGGATAACAATCAGAGCTATTTAAAAAGAGGCAAGTTGTTTTCTAGCTCCTTCACAAGGTCCCATCATATCAACAGACTGATGTTCTTTGAGTCCTGCTTTCATCTCGTTTCTGTGAGGAGCGAGAGACACGTCACGACCTCAGCAGCACTCAGCCTTCGCCTCACCTGTACTCAGCGACCCCGCCTGCGTGTTTCTTCATCGCCGTGTCGGAGCTCATCCCATAGAACAGCTTGAGCTTCTGCCCATTCTTCTCGATCACCTCTCCAGCACACTCGGTGTGGCCTGAGAACATCCCGCCCAGCATGACAAAATCAGCTCCTGCTCCTAAACTCCCAACCGAGAGCAACAGAGAAAAGAGCTCAGAGATAATACCTAAGTACTTACCCCAACTTACTCTCCCTTCCTCCTATTATATTCAGATAGCTTTTTCTTTTTCTTTTTTTAAAGATTTATTTATTCACACAGAACCGGGGGACAAGTCAGAGGTGCAGAGCTGGTGAGAGGGTTCACCAGAGAGAGTGGGGAGCAGAACAGGCAGATTGACCGATGCACTGCTGAGGGGAGTAGCGGGCGAGACAGAGAGGTCTGCTGTGCCATGTGGGTCAGCTCTGGGCGGGGATCAAACTCTGGCCATGATGGTGATAGCATGATCATGTTGAGACTTAACCCCTACCCGACCAGGGAGGACCTTTTTAAAAAAAAAATTTAAGGACACCCAACTAGGTAGACACATCCAGAGAAACAACTGCAGCTCACTGAAGTCTGATGGCGAATATGCTGGCCAGTCCTCCATGGCTACCATGAATACCAGTGGCCACCTTCCAAACAGAGGACTAATTCCTATAATCAGACAGACACTAAGAATTGGCATCCTAGCCAGCACAATGTCCAATCTCCTACATAATACAGTAACCCCACTAGGTGGACCCAATCAGGCATCTGGTCTACCCTAAGTTTTCAGCACACTCTCACTCTGCTGCAGAAGATCATCAAAGGCGCTCAAAACAGACCAAAGTTCCTGTACTAGAGACTGGACACTAGGAGAGAAACCTATATACCGAAACTCTCCCTTTATCTCTGTTGCAATGAATATTAGACCTTAAAAAAAAATGAAAAGAATATTCCAGTGAATGACATGACATTTCCGAGATAGGTGTGGTGGAGACCAGGGTGTTGAAGCTGCATCTCAGGCAGTGCTGGCCTAGGAGCAGGGCTGGCTGAGGGCTGTACCCAGTGTGTATGGCATATGGACCGAGTATGGCATATGGCGGATGTGAAATAACAAGCTTTCAAAAAAGGAAAAGGTATATGTGGAAGAAACAATCACCAACCCCAACCTGCTCACAGGTGATTATGCAGACAGGCTCAAGTCTACGGGGACTACGAACGAGATGAAAAAATGTACAAAATGAAGAATGATGTAAAAAAATATTTCTAAAATGTCATAAAAAGAAACTGCTGCAACTTCTCCTAGGTCTTACTTAGAAAACAAAGCTATCTGAGGACAGGCGGGGAAGTGATTAGGATGAAGAGGGGTGCCTTTCTACCCTGCTGAGGAAGAAAAAACAGCCTGTGTCAAGTGGCCTTAATCTCTTTCATCATTTCAATTTTTGCAAAAGAACACTGAGGTCTGTGTCCTGTATTACCCTCCCTTCTGTTCACACACAGAAAAGCACCCTGAGGGGCTGGCTCCTAGGCCCGACATCAAGGAGAGCACAACAGGACCTTTGCATTTGGCAGAAAGCTTAACAGGAAGGAAGGGTTCCCACCATGGATGCTGGATGCTGGGCTCTCCGCTGTGATTTTAAAGGGGCCGAGAATAATTGGTGTCTGGACAGGCCTCCCGAGGCCCACAAACCCAGAGGCAGAGGGCCTTTCAGGCACTACCTCAGAGCAGAGGGAAGCAGCAGGAACACAGAACACAGATCCCCTCCAACAATGCTCTGATGTGGTTGCCAATTACTTATCTCTACACATTCCTGTACCCCCTCCCAACAGCGCCTGCCCTGACATGGGCCCTCTGCTCCAGGGAGACTCAGCCAGGTGCAGCTGCGACACTGGAAGGTGAGTAGAGTGGAAGATGCCAGAGTGATTCCCACATGTGTTTCCAATAAGGCACCTCGTGACAGACACTGTGAAGCGTACCCGGCACCAGCTCTGTGCAGGGAACCTCAGAAGGAAACCCCAAAGCATAAAATGTCCTTGCTGATGATGTTTGCAAGAGGGGTTTGTGCAGCAAGAATCCTGGACTTTCTGTCCCTAATTGTGAGAACGCCCCCCCCCCCAGCCTTGTCATTCACCTTATAGAGTGTCCAGTCCCCTCAATATAAAATAAGAAGCCAAATTAAATAGTTAACCTATATGTTCTCATCCACAGCCAAGATACAGGACTAGGTTGGGATGGAGTTAACAAAGTTGGCCATTTTAATGACCTCGTCCAGGGTTGGATAAAACACAGCTACTCCCTTTAGACAATGGCTGAGTTAAGGAAACAACCTAAGTACCCAACGACAGATGAGTGGATTAAGAAGACGTTCGTTCGGGCCCTCCCTGGTGGCGTAATAGGTTAGGGTGCAGCACTGCAAGCTGGCCACAGCCACTTCAGTGCCAGTTCCATCCTCAGCCCCAGAGGTGACCCACATGGCACAGACCTCTCCTGACCCACCTGCTGCTCCCCTCAGCAGTGTATGCTGTCGATCTGCCTGTTCTGCTCCCCACTGTCTCTGGTGAACTCTCTCACTGCCCCTGCACCTCTGGCCTGTACCCCAGTTCTGTATGCATAAATAAATAAATCTTTTAAAAAAAGACATTCTATATACACACAGAAGACAACTCTACAATTAAAACAAAAAGATGAATTCTTACTATTAAAAAAGATGGAACTGAAGAGTATGGTGTTAAGCAAAGTAAGTGAAAGACAAATATCAGATGATTTCACTCACATGTGGAATACAGTGAACAAGTCAAAGAAACCGAAAAACTCAATCCAAACAAACCCTAGAAATCTGACTGCAGAATTGAGTGTACCTGAGGGGGACAGTAAAGGTTGGGAACAAAGGGGACAGGCTGGAGGGCAAGGGGTTGATTCTGGTGTGACAGCATGCATCAGAGAAGGCTGCAGCTACTCCCCTGAGTCACAGACAGGGCTGGACATCAACAGGACCGCAATGAAAAGTCCAATGCAAAAGCCACTGGTTTCCTTCCATTAGTATCAAAGTTTTATTAAAATAAATAAATGGGGTCCTCCCTGGTGGCACCTTGGGATAAAGCACAGCACTAGGAGGCTGGCCACAGGCGCTTCAGTGTGAGTTTGACCCCCACCCAGGGATCGGCCCGCATGGCGTGGCAGACCTCTCCAGTCTCCCCGTGGCTCCCCTCAGTAGTGTACGTCGACCATGTGCCTGTTCTGCTCCCCACTCTCTCTCTGGTGAATCCTTTCACTGCCCCTGCACCTCTGGCCTGTACCCCAGTTCCATATGCATAAGTCAATCAATCTTTAAAAAATAAATTAAAAATGAAGGACTAATCCTAATCCTGACTTCCTATGGGATGAGCTCTTAAATTCGTTCTGAGAGTTGCCCAAACCGGGAAGGAAAGGTACTGGCACTCCTTAAGAAGGCAGATGACAGTTTTCCTTGACCACAAAATAAAATTAAAAAAAGGAAAGAATAAATTATCAACAGCAAGCTTGGCTGAGGCATTACATAAGGAGGGTGGAGCCCTGGAAGTTTCGTCTCCACCTCCTGCAGACAGTCACAGCCCCCCCTTCTTCAGTTTGGGAGTCCCCACAGGCAGCCAGCTCTGAGTTTTGAAAGCAGTTTGCAAAGTTTAAGAGGTGGCTCAGGGCACATTAAGGTGAGAGGCTGGATGTCCTAGAAAAACCCAGAACAAGCCCTGCTCATGGCTGGACACTGCTGCCCCCTAGTGACCAACTGCGGGTAAGACGCCCCATCCCGGGACTTTTCCCAAGACTGAGCCCACAGACCCTCCCTGAAGTTAGGCACACAAGTGCCCCAGGGACCCGCTTCCACAGCCCTAGCCCTCTCGGCCACTTCATCGGCTCCCGCTGGTGGGTGTCTTCCCCAGATGGACCCCCACGCACTCGGCCTGCTCTGCCACATATCAGAACCAACAACATTTCTGGCCAAGTGGGCCTCATATCCAGGACACGCCCAGAACTCCCCCCACCCCTCCTCAACCAGCACCCCGCAGCCTGTGCTGAAGGAGTACGTCCCCTTACCAAAGGCTTTGGCGACATCTCCTGGACACGTGCAGCCTCCGTCCTTCAAAGAGAGGGAGAAAAAAGCAAGAAGAGGGTGTCAGTCAAGGGAGCTCAGCCAGGCTGTCCCTCCACCCCCTCCTCCCCCCAGAGCAATGGAGAGCAGCAGCCTTTGGGGTCAGAGTCCGACTCCCCAGTTAATGTTTTCTATCAACTTTTCTCCCCTGACTTGGAACCCTCCTCCTCTCCCAGCTCTGGCCCCTGGGCCTGCCTGCCTCTGGGGACCAGAAGCTGTCCACACTCACTCCCTTCCATAGTCCAGGTGGAAGGCAGGGTGTCTTCAATACAAAAGCTAAATTATTTTAAGAGCCTGGCAGAGGGCTACTTCTAGATACTCCATTGTCTCCTGTTTACCTCCCGCAACCTGCCTGCCCAGTCAATTCAAATCCACTAGGCCTTCCTGACACCCGCTCCCCAGCAGTGCCCAGGCCTGGGGCTGGTTTGATGCCCAGCTGGACAGTCTGAACTTGGGCTTCCTGGGTGCCCAGAGTCGGGGGCGGTGGTGGGTGTTATATGTTGAAACACCTGGCCTCGCAAAGAGGTCTCGGGGTACAGAGTCCATTGTGTTGCTACCTGTTACTGAATGTTCCTGGTGAGGCTCCAGAAAAAGCCAGAACCACAGGGAGGCGAGACAGCTAGGACTGGGCATGGGCGAGCGGGGGCAGTGATGTAGGCTGGCTGCCCAGCCCAGAGGGCAGTGTGGATCTTGGCCACACATCAAGGCCTCAGAGAGTGGAAGTTGCTTACAGCATCCTGTCACAGGCTCATGAGGAAAAACAGAGAGGTGAATCTCGCTCATCTGAGACACACATTTGGAAGCATTTTGAAGTGCTGGACATATTTTTTTCTTAAGGAAAAAAAAAAATAAACAAAACCCCAAAGGATCATTTGCTCTGTTTTTCAAGAGTGTTAACATATTTTAGTACAAAAGGCTTCACATGACATGAGGGGTGTTATCTGATCTGTGAATTCTCAAAAGCGTCTTAATATTTTTGAGTTTTCAAAAAACCTTTTCTTTTTAAAAATACCCGTTCATCTTTAGGCTAGAAGGTGATGGAAGCAGAGTGGAGGAGGGAAAGGGGATTCAGATGAAGCCCCTACTGGAAGCCAGAACTGTTAGAAATTTTACTTTTCTATTCAACCAGAAGATTCTGGAGGTGTTTTTTTTTTGGGGGGGGGGTAGGGGAAAAAAAATGAAGGAGGCTCAGAATGGTTAAGAGACTTGCTTAAGGTCACACAGCTATAACAACGGAAGACCAGGAGAAGAACAGGATGTTAGGTAAAAAACTCCAAACATGTCTAAAGCACAAAATCAAAACATTAGCAGTACTTATCTTGTAAAAGCAAGTCTAGTAATCTCTATTTTCACTCCTGTATTTTCTGACTTTTTCTAGGTTAACCCTATTGTCTGGAGGAAATTTCCAAGTCTTAAAAATTATAGGAATGGAATCTAATCAGGCCTTTCTAAATAATGGTGTTTCTAAATTGCTACATTAAATCAATTAAATGTTAAGAAATCTGCTGACCAATCTTTCCTTCTGTGCAAAGGGTCAGTGAGTGGAGGAGAGAGCTGCTAACAGGGTATAGAGCCAGAGGGAATTGGAGCTCACTTGGGCTTACCTCTATTCCCCACTAACAACGCCTCACATGGTGGACTGCTGGTTTGCAAGCGTACTTTCTAGGTCTATAAAAGACACTGATTAAAACGATGACCTTAAGTTCCAATCAACCTATTCAGAGATGTTTTGAAGACCCTCTGAGGCACTACAATGTTCAGGCCATTTCTGCTTATCAGTAGCCAGTGAGCTCATTTGGTTGTTCAAATCCCCTCCCCACTCAATGGTTCATTGGATTTGTCACTGGAAGTCTTGCTTGGGAAAGGACTGGCTTTAAGAACACATAAGCCTGAAATTTCCCAACACAATGTCATGAGGACAGGCGCGGGCATTAGCTCCTGTGCCAACTCTGCCTTCTTTGTGACTTCACTGTCTTAAAGTCTCTTCATTTTCTAAACATGATGGTCAGGGAAGGAGTATAATACTGGTGATAAACAGTGTGATGTTGTGCAAGTTACTTAAGGTCTCAAAATTTTAGTTTCCTCTCCTGGAGTGGCTAATTTAAAAGTCACTTGAACGGGCAGTAGGTATCTAAACATTTGGTTAAACATATTATTCTGGGTGTTTCTATAAGGATTAGATAAGATGAATGGTTAAATAAGTAGACTGAGTAAAGCAGATTGCCCTTCCTACTGTGGGTGGGCCTTGTCCAATCAGTTGAAGACCTGACATCAGTCAGGAAGAATTCTGCCTTAGAACCAATCGAATCAGGGACTCTTCCTGACTCTCACACCTTCACCTTCAGGCTCAGAGTGGGATGATACCATCAGCTTCCCTACGTTCACCTGTTTGCAAACTCACCCCACAGACCTTAGGGACTTCTTACCATACATGGTCATGTAAACCACTTCATTATAATAAATATCCCCCCACACATATACAAAACATACCTACTGGCTTGTTTTTCTCTGGAGAATACAAATATATATATCTGTTAAACAGAGGTAACCATGACCTCACCAGGTTAATCCAAGGATTATAGATCACATGTGTGTTAAGCCTGGCAGATAGTAGATGCTCAATAAATGGCAGCCATTACTTCTTCTAAAACTACTTTCATCTTTAAAATCCTTTCCTTTGTGTGTTGTCCCTAACAGAAGACAAGCCAAAATTGGCGAGCTGCACCTTAACCTTCACTTTCGCAGAGGTGTCTGAGGTTTTCAGCTCTCCGCTTCTTAGAAGCCCACACAGGCCACAACACATAGAAACCTGATTCAGGCGCTGCCTCTTGAGCGTAAGTTGATCCGCAGACTCCCTGCCATGCCATCCTTTGACCCTTCAGCAGCATGAATTATGCTGACTCAGCAACACATACACTGAGACAGCTGGAAGAAAACTGGGCAGGATCGAAACATATATGAGGGTTCTAGAACATTTAGGACTACTGGCAAGTGGGGAGAAAACTGCTTGCATGACTCCATTAGACAAAGGCGCCTTTTTTTTTTTTTTTTAAGATTTATTTGTGCATACAGAACTGGGCGGTGAGAGGCTTCACCAGAGACAGAGTGGGGAGCAGAACAGGCAGATCGGCGAAGTACACTGCTGAGGGAGCAGCGGGCGGGTCAGGAGAGGTCTGCCGCGCCATGTGGCCACCTCCGGGGCAGGCGGGGATCGAACTCATGCGGAAGCGGCTCCAGATTCTCAGTGCTGTGCTTCAACCCGCTGCGCCACCAGGGAGGGCCCAAAGGCGCCTGCTTTGAGCCCCAGAGGTTTCAAGAGAATGGGCTGAATGAAGCTAAGAATGGAGATCCTAGGTAAGTGTGTGAAGTTCCTTTCATCTTTGGCTATCAATGAACATAATCACCCCATCTGGGAATTCTCTACCAAGAATGAACAAGTAAGCACCTCAGAGAATCCTATGACAATTTAGGACTCTCACTGTTCCTACACACAAACTTGCGGCCCTCCCTGGTGATGTGCTAGGTTGGTGTGCAGCACTGAGAAGTTAGATGCAGCCACTTCAGCAAGGGTTTGATCCCAATCCCAGCCCGGGAGGTGACCCACATGGTGCAACAGACCTCTCCTGTCTCGCCTGCTGCTCCCCTCAGCAGTGTACTTCATCAGTCATCATGTCCTGCTCCCCACTCTGTCTCTGGTGAATCCTCTCACCACCCCTGCACCTCTGGCCTGTACCCCAGGTCTGTATGCATAAATAAAATGATCTTAAAAAAAAAAACCTCAGGTCCTTGCTCTAGCACACTGGCCAGCTGTTGCTTGCTGGGCACCCATGATAGAAGCTGGTGATTCTCAACTTGATGGTGCAGCAGAACTCTCTAAAAGGTTAGATCCTGGGCCTCGTCTTCTGAGTCTCTGACTCTGTTGTTCTGAGAGGAAACCCAAGTATTTATTTAGAAATCGCAGTCATTCAAGGACATATATACAATAAGGTGCAAATCTGAAGACTCTTGACAGTAGACACTATCCTGATGAATTATATGTAATGCTTCTGGGGGCCAACCCGTGAATGGCCTCATTCGCTAGGGCAGACTCCGGGCGTGTCTATTTTAAAAAGCTGCCAGGCAGACACTCATGCAGCCAGCCCAACAAAAGGCTGCAGCGAGCTGAGTGGCAACTGTGGTGAGGTGAACACCTCTCTCTGTTAAGGTGGGATGATGACTTTATGACCTCCTTTACATGCTAGTTGTTCAGTAAATGGGTTAACTGTTCCCTCAGGCAAAGGCTGAAGGGAAGAATATTGAGTAGAGGTCTCAGACACTGTCTTCAGTCACTGATTCCAGCTCCTAGCACACAGTAGGTGCCAAATCAATATTGCTGAATGAATGACAAAAAAAAAAAAAAAAAAAAAAAACCACATGGATGCAAAAAAACATGGATGCAGAATTAGGAGCCCTGGAACTGTGCACTGGATGTCCAGGTTAAGGACCAGGAGCCGAGTGTTGGCTGTTACCCAGAAGTCATGATCAATGACGCTATGGCTGAAGTGTAAAGCTCTTAAGAAGCTGTGGCCAGGCTCAGATTAAGATATGTACATGCTCAGGCTTTTAAAGAGGATGGTAACGCCCTCCACACAGGTCTAGAAAGCAAACCTCAACAGGCTGAAACACTGGGTCTAAATTAACAGGGCATTGTCCCAGAATGCAATTACTGTATTGCCTTTGGATTTTTAAGACAATCACCTATCAATTCTTTAATGGGGGGGGGGGTTAGTTTAGCAACTGTACAAGTGAAAACAGCTGAAGATTTGATCTATTCAAATGAGTCCATACTACTAGCCAACCCTTAAAAAGATGCTGCTAATTTACAATTTCATTCATATTAAGGAGGAGCTGAATAGCTCTATTTGATTCCATCCAATTATAGCCAACAGGGTCTGTTCTGAGCATCTCATCTAGAATGGAACAGATGTGAGGATTCTCTTCAGTGCTTCGAATGATCATCAGATCAATCCAGCTGCAGCAGAAGCATGGATAAGCTGATGAGAGGCTTGAACTTGACATTCATTCTTTCAACCGTCAGTTCAAGTTAGGGGCTGTGGTGGTTCTGTGTGGCTAACTTCACAGGACCTCAAGTGCACCTGTCTGCCCTAGCTAATGCTGTGCATGGGTGAGCACCCTCCCCAGTAAGGCCAACAAACAGGTCAGCAGAGCACAGTGCACTCTGTCCTGCAAATAGCTGCAGCCCACTACCTTGTTTCAAGTAGAAGCTACAAGAAGCCCCAGGCCCTGTACAAACATACACCCCACCCTCTGCGTCAGGCACATTTCCTGGGCACATTTTCTGTTTTTCCCTGCAGATCCTATATATACCCATGGGCAGTCCTAATAGATAGACTTTGGACTTCAGACCTCAGGCTGCTGCTTCAGTTTCTCACGTCTCTGAGTCTCCTACATTTGGGCAACGGGCAAATGTAGTGGTCAGCGCATCCCTTGGTGGGTTTGCAACAGTTCTGCTCATCCAAGAGCTTCCTGAAAGTACTGTTAGGCCCTTGTGTCTGCCCCTGCTTACCTCCTTCCCACACACACGTCTCTCAATTCACAAAATGTAAATTCTACCCAGAGTGGCCAGCTGGAGACATATGACACCCCGCAGGTTGGCCAGGACGTGTGGAAACCGGAGTTCTGATGCCACAAGCCCAGGACCTGCCTGAAGCCTGGACATCCCAGAGCCTCGATGGTCCTGCTACACCTGTTTCTGCCTTCTGGCTCCAGAAATGAGACAGTGACTTTCTCCTGTGTAGGCCGCCAGCTTGGGACACGTTGTCAGGCAGCCCTAGCGAACTAACACATGGACCCTTTGATGTCTCCACTCTCCCTGCATCTCCCTATTGTACAGCCCCAACACCCTGGCCCCCTCACTGCAGAGGGAGCTGGAAGCAGAGCCTGATTCTCTGCTGAAAGTCACAGCTGCCCACCCACACCCAAGCTGGGGATACCCGGCTGGGAAGCAGGGTTCCCTCGGTGTTGTGGAGCAAGGGCCACGCTGCCGTCCTCCGGCAGCCCCGAGCCGCCCTGGCCCTGATGGAGACTTACCGAGATGATGTGCCCCTTGAGGCCGTGGGCAGAGTCCGCGCACTCAATCACGGCGCTCAGCTGGGGGTAGCCCACCCCGGTCTTGGTGCGGGTGGTGCACACGGAACCTGGCACGAAGGGCGGAAAGGACAGCACGGGTCATGAATGAGCACAACGTGCCACTGGCACCATCACAGAGCCCTGCCCAACCTGCCAGGGGTGAGCTTATCCTAGCAGAGGACAGGTGTGCAGGTCAGGCCAGGGAGCGGAGGGGATTTGATTTTTATCAAATTTCTAACCAGCTACGCCTCACGGCCTCATCTGCTGAATGGAAACTCCAGCAGTGGTGGAGAGTAAATGGCACGAGGGATGCAGCTAATCCCAAGCAAGGAAGGGCACAGGCTCCTGCACCCTCACTCTTGCTCAACCGTCCCCTAATGTGCCCCGTCTCCCCTTGACCTCCCCCTTCCTGTCCAGAGTCCTGGTCCAGTCTGAACTCCGAGATCAACTTCCAGTTCAGAGCTCACCCCTGCCACCTACACGCCTTCATTCCCCTGACCTTGCTTTCCCAAAGTTACTCATTTCGGGGTGACCATCTGCCCGGCGCCATCCCAGTTAGGGGCAAGTAAGTCCCAAAGGGCTAGCACATGTCCCCAGCTCCAGGGAGCGCCCCTGCTCATCAGGACCCCAGGATCAAGCTCCCCCCGGGCCCACCTGCCTCCCTCCTCTCCTACCTGCTTTTTCACCCTCCTGCCAACTCCCCTCAGCCACAGTGACCTTTCAGTTCCCCCAGCAGAACAAGTGTCCCTACCTTAGGGAATCTCTGTACATGATGTTCTCTCTGTACTAACACTCCCCAACACACACGTACAACAACCCCCCCCACCAACACTTCTCATCTTTCAGGTTTCATCTGAAATGTCACTGCCTCAGGGAAGCTGTTCGTCACAGCATTCATTTCAAAGGGAGGCACTCAAATAATTATTTGTGTAGGAACGAGGATCTGTTTTCTCTGCTGGATAGTAAGCGCCGCGGATATTCATTGTTGTAGATGAGATCGGGAGCTGCGAAAGAGCTGCGTACATAATAAGGCCCTATAAATAGTCGCTGGAAGAATGCATGAACTGGAGAATGAATGAGTCACCGCACACTATTCAGTAGCTCCTGGGTGTCTAATGCTGTGGATTCGGGGACACCCCGGGGGCAGGGTGAAAGCTGGGCACGAACTCCGCCTCTGCCTGCCAGAGCTGGGGATGAGGACTCTGAAGCCGGGCCTCCTCTGGGGGTTCCCTGCTACCATAAATGACACCCCACCTTCCCGTCCATTATTCCCAGGGTCGTTAGGGACAGGGTCAACTGATCTCGCTTCACCTGAGCCTGACTGCAGAAACCAGGAGACCCGTCTCCTGCACATGGCTAAGGACGGGCTCCTTTTCTCTATGTTCATCCTTGCACAGTCTCGAAGCCTGGGGCCTCTCTCCCCCACACCAGGGCCCCCTCCGCCCCAGGGCGCTGCACAAGGCAGAGTGGAGCTATAGCAGCTCAGATTCAGATCTGGCTTTTCTCCTTGTGTCCCATGTAACTCACGGCTCCTGGGAAGGGCACGGCTGATGTCTGCACTTTGGGGGAGGGGGCGAGGGGGGGTCTAAAAGGCCAGGTCAACCGCTTTCCTTGCAAACAGCCAAGGAAGACATTTCCATAGAGGCAATGGGAATGGTGCCAGTGAGCCTCAGGCCAGCAGCTGAAGTTGAGTACACATTTTTGCTCTTCTACAGGGGCAGGGGTGCCCATTTTTACTGCTCTCGCCCAATTCTCAGAAGTTGCTCCATAACGAACCCTTTTGGATGCTATCATTTAGATACAGAACACATGATGTTTGGCGCTAATCTGTGAAACTGAAACATCCTCTCCAAACAGAGTGGCTTGGCCAAAAGTAGATGACTGGATTAAAAGGATGCGGTACATATATGCAATGGAATATTACTCAGCAACCAAAAAGAGAA